GATCAGTGAATTTTATTGTTACGGCGATTAATTCCGAGTCTGGTTTGAGAGATAACGGTTATGTGTTTTCTTTTTGTCATTTGCCTCATACTTTGGATTATTGGTTATTAATCTATGCCGAATTCATTCAAAAAAAGGTGATAAGAGTTGGGACTGTAGGGAAATAATTCATAGTAGGGATTGTTAAATGCGGACCACAAATAGTTAGGATTAATAATGCCAATTTTTTCTTAAAAAAATATAATCATTTTTTTGACACTATATCTATAGATAATACATTTCAAAGATACAATTATGGAAAGTTTATGCCACGTGTCATCTTCTAAGCAAATTTTGATTATGATGTTTTAGACTCTTTCTAATTTAGTATATTAATGTTAATTATACGATGTTACATGGTTTAGAATTTAAGTTAGTGTAGGATTCATCAATTCATGATTTCATGTGACGTTAGTTAAGGACTAGGCTATTATCTTAAAATTCTACATGACTACTTCTATATCCTAAAAACAATATACTACGTAACTAAAAAAACTTCTTAAAGCATCCTTCAATTTCTTCGTTGCATAAAAATAAAATTTTAGAAATACAATTATGAATTATATGGATATATTGGTGTGTTCGAATAAAATTCATCAAAGTTCTATGCATTATTTATGTAAAATTTTCTCAATGTCTATAGATATATGAGACATTTATCATACTACATCAGGTCAGATCGGATCAAATTAGATTAGAACAAAAAAGTTCAGTTCAATTGAAAACATCTTTAAAGGAGTCCTCCCTAAAATTTCGAACTCTATATGTATAGAATGTGTAGACTATTTCGGGAGATTTATTCTAATCCGATATAGAGTTCGATTCTTGGGAGGACTTCTTTGAAAATGTTTTTAATTCAACTAAACTTTTTTTGTCTGATCTGATCTGACCTGATCTGACCTGATATGGTATGATAATGTCTCATCTATAGACATTGAGAAAATTTTACATAAATAATGCATAGAACACTTGATAAATTTTAATCGAACACACCAGAGAATTACTCCAACTTGAATTAATTTGATTATTTCTCAATTCAGCGCGCGAAGTTAAAACAACACAATTGGTAAAAACATTTGTCGATAAGCTGAAAACAAGGACTCATATATTAGGATTATGTTTGACACTTGGATATGTAGGTGGAAGCTAATATTTGAATTAAGGCTTATTGTGTGAACTCAAGACTATTGTCTGGTGCTGAATGTTACTTGAATGAGGTAAATCTGTTTGACAAAAACAGCTAAAAATGCCCAGATAATATGACTTAACCAGATAAGATTAAATCAAATCACATAAGATTAAATCAAATGACACCAGAGCATAATATTTTAGTTCAATTCAAAACAAGGAATCCCCCTAATCAAATCCATATTAGATTAGAACAAATCTCCCGAAACATTCTATGCATTCTAATTTCAGGATAGAATATAGAGTAATAACGATGTTTTTGATTAGAAAGTTTTTTTGTTTAAGCATATATTAATGCTTTTTAGAGTTATTTAACATTATTATTTTTTATCATTTGAAAAGTGAAAAATGATATTTTGAGAATTCTTTAAAATACTGATATGGTATGATATTATGAGTACTAAAAAGCCATTATATATTAACTAATTCATTTAAGGTAAATGTATTTCAAAGGTAAAACAAATATCGTAGTTTTAAAGTCTTATTTTTTGTTTTTTCCCATTTCAGAATATATTAATATTAATTGTTTTAGCTTAAAAGTCACGACATAATGGTGAAATAGAACTAAGTAAGAACACAATATATTTAACAAAAAGAACTTTTAAGAAAACTTAAATTTAAAGAACGTTAAGATGTTAAAAATTACTCCAAATGCACAACTTTTCATGAGCACCTCAAAAAATTAAAAAAAAATGTTTGAGGTTGTTAGAATGTGACAAGCACATTTAGTAAAAGAAAATTAAGGATTAAATGTCTTACATGAGTTAGGTATAGTAATTCTAGGAGCACATAAAGCAATTCCCTATTTGGATACATAGGCCCGTTTGTTAACATTGAAATTGACTGAATCAGATAAATCTGTTGAAATTATATTATGAAATTCTGGATGAAGTGTCTGCATTAGTTGAATGCCTGAATTATTGAAAAATTATATTTAAAGTGTATTTTATTAATAAATTTAAGAAAAAATGACACGAAAATAGCTAAAATGGTGCTCTACAACAAGAATGACTTTACTTGGACTATTTTTAGTCCTAGACTAGACCAACTCAGATCAGACAAGACTTGGACAATTATAAAATATACAGGGACCAAACATTTACCTAATCAGAATAGACCTGTTAAGACCAGAAGGTTTCAGTCTAATTAAAAACATCCCAACTTCATCCGATTTAGCCAGAAAAATTACCCCAACTTGAATTATTTTGATAATTTCTCAATTCAGCGCGTGAAGTCAAAACTATGTTTTTAATATAAAAACTTGGGTAATAAGCTGAGAACGAGGGTTGCCAAATGGGCTCATAGGTTAAGACTATGTTTAGCATTTCGAGTTGTAGGTGAAGCCTAATGTCTAATTTAAAAGTTATTGCTGAACTAAAAACTATTGTCTGGAGCTAAATTTTGAAATGTTGCATCTAAACTATTAGTTGAATAAGGTAAATTTGTTTGAAAAAAAGAGCTAAAAATGCCCAGATAATATGACCTAAGAGGATCAATGAAATCAAATCAAATCAAATCAGACCAGATTCGATCAGAATAGACAAATAAGGAAAAAAACAGTCCAATTAAAAACATTTGTAATTGAGTCCTCCTTAAAATTTAGAACCTCATATTAGATTAGAATTCTATAAATCTCCTGGAAGTTATTCATGAGTAAACTTTGAAGTTAATTAGCTTATTATGTAGTTAATCATAATTAGAGGAATTGAGAAATGCATACATAATTAAACTATTAGTTAGTCATTCATATTTTAATAATATTTATAAGTAAGTTTTTATTTATAACCAAATTTGAGATGACGACACATGATTTGGTATTAAAATTCAAAAATGGACTACATAAATTATACAAATAACCTCAAAACTAATTTCTTGATAACGATCTAATTGAGAAAATGAATCTTAATACCATTGAAGCCATAAATTTGCAAAGTTTGCAAAATAAATCTAAGAAAAATTGAGGCTAAATAAATTCGCAAAATTTTCAAAATAAATTTCCAAGTGATTCTAATTTTCAAAATAAATCTATGAAAATAAATCTTAGAAAGTGATTGAAGGGCTAATTTACAAAATTCTAAAACCTAGGGCTGATAACTTAAACAATTGACTACACTCACTTTTAGATAAGTAAATTACAAAAACGTGTAGTTAGTTTTGAAAAAAATGGGAAGCTACAAGTGAAATTTAGTGGAAAAAATAGACATTAATTAAGCATTTTCTTTTTTGTTTAGGAAAATATATTTAAAAAGATTAATTTTGTTTGAATGTAGAGTTACAAAAAATGTTATTTTCATTGAAAAATATAGAGTGCAAACATATTTAGATAATTACTTCAAAAATAAGACTACTCAATAAATTAGAGTATGCGTTATAAATCTACATTATAATCGACTAAATTAGTGATTTTCCATTAGTAAAATAAAAAGCAAAATCATTTTAACCCGTGCACGGCACGGGTAAAGGTACTAGTTTTATTCCTATTTGAGGGATTAGCTCTTTATAATACGGAGTATCTTGGAAGCATAGAATAAGCAATTCCCTACATTGCTAGATTGCCTATATGCATTGAAAATTGAAATGGCCAATTCATCATATGGCCTTCACAGATGATACCAAAGCCGAACGAGTTACACTCAGAAGTTGACTAATTCAAAATCACAATTTCTTTTACTGATTGACTAAATCAACGTACAACTTTTCTATAGCATTGTACTACGTATTATGCTTTACGAAATCAAGCTTTACCATATAAACTACTCCGTACTACGTAAAAAATTGCAAATAACATTGACTCCAAAATTTTAATGCATACAACATTAATTTATATTTTAAAAGTTAACCATCTTCGCCCGAAACTTAAAAAAAATACAAGTCAGTATATACGTACGTACGGAGTAATTCTTAGCTTGACTTTAGGAAAACGACCTCTATATATATTTCCAAAATAGGGTTGCATATAAACACTTAAACTGACATTTAAATATTATTAATATAGTTAATTGGAAATGTGAAAACTGTCCTCCAAATCGAGATTGCGAGCTGTAATTAAGTGTGTTACATAGTTTGACTGAGGCCAGCAAATTTTCACACACACACACATATACGTAGTATGTACATACCGCCCAGCATCATTGTATTTTAACAATCAACTTAATCCAACAAAATGCATCCACCACCCTGCGGCTGGACTACCATTATACTAGCGGTTGATTCTTTGGTATTCTGTGGTCTTGCAGTTCTTGCTGGGGTTGTTGGACAAAATCATGTATAAATTTATCTCGGATATGTTTAATTAATTTGTAATGTTAATCGGTTGGATGAATGCATGGGCCGGAACAATGTGTGTGACACTCCAAAAATTTAATAAAAAGAACTTAGTATTAACTAAGATGTAATATCTGCTAATTGTACTTATGGATATTTTCTTAGCTTATGCTTCGGGACGAAGCATCTTTTAAGGAGGGTAGAATGTAACACCCCGAAAATTTTAAAAAAATAAATAAATATATATTAATTATATCAGTCAGATAAAATGTTACGAAATTAAAGTGACAATTTAATAATTAAGTGAATGACATAAAATTTTAACATCGGTGACATTTTTAATCTGATAAAAATGTTTCGAAAAAAAAATGACATTTTAACAATTTTAATTGAAGGGTATTAGTTATAAATATTTGTACCGAAAATACACTAAATACAATACAAAAAAAAACTGTTAAAAACAGTTGACTTTTTCCAACCGCATATACCTATACTTACACACACAATAATACGTAGATAATAATAGATGGTAATAATATTGGAGAATGATATAAAGAAGTGTACACATTCACATGCATGCCAACACATTCACATGCATGCGTACTAACCATGGGATCACATTAGTACAAGGAGTAACAATAATGTATACAAACAAAAAAAAAATACACATTCACGCACATGTATATGTTAAAGTCAAGCCCATCGCCAACTAACCTACACTCACATGGGTTGTTCGTAGCTACAACCTCCAACCTCATAGTATAAATAAGCAAGAACAGACCTTCAACTCTCTTCATCCCCAAACCTGCGGTATATATATATACACACACATATATATATACATATACACAAATTTCGACCCTTCGTTTTAGTCAAAACCGAGCCATGAAAACACCATAGAGACCTTCCCCTTCTCGAGAGGAATCCAACGGTGAAAGAATCGTTGAAAACGATCGTGAAACGACGGAGAACAAGCTTGCCGGAGTTTGTTGGAAATGCTTTGAAAGAAAAACAATTACGTACGTAGCTTTAGTTTTTCAAAGCATAATGGAGCTCGAATTGAAGTTACTCCTAAGACTTAATGCATGCATACGTATAGAGAAACAAGAACTCACGTAGCTATTTTTTTGTGGTGCTCAAAGCCACATGACTTTGACGCACACATTTTCAATTTATAAACAAAGAAAACATCCCACGTACAAAGTAGTTACACCACTCCACAATGAGACCCACTCACTCCACAACCTCCATGCATGCGTACCCAAACTATTTACATGCATGTGAATAACTTAATTGACCAACTTAACTAATTGACCCAAATTAGACTAACACTAATGCAATGGCACACACACACACTTCAGTACCGCTACAACATATGCACGGTGTCACACGACGCACACTACTTGGCATGACTCATCCCGCCGTGCACTAACACTCTAGTCCAAAATGCATCAAAGACTCCAAATAAACTAAATTAAACATGACGAAATTATAAACAACAAGGTTAACTCCAACAATCACCCCCTTAACTTTGTTTTCATTTATTTTGAACTCCTCGCAGACCATCACAGCAGCGCCGGCTCGTCGTCGTCGGTCATGACGGCGAGATGTGCTTGCTCCTTCCTTGGTGCGGTGCAATCCTTGGAGAAATGCCCATACTCTTGACAATTGTAACACCGAACCTTACGAATGTCAAACGTACTTTTCTTCTTGCCGGTCCGGCCACGGTAGCGAGAAAGCCACTCCTCCTCCGTGAGGAGCAATTGACCTCCACCCCCATGGTCATTGTTGTCGGCGACGTCGTCAGCATCACTCCTATCCTCCATTGTTTTTAGCCTTCCCGCAAGCTCCTCCATGGACATGGTTTTAAAATCCATAAGTTGCTCAATTGCAATAGCTACCTGGGTGTACTTGGATGGCACGATTCGAAGAAGTTTCTTCACGACCTTCACCTCCTCGAAGGTCTCACCGAGGGTGCGAATCTTGTTGGCGAGTCCGTTCATGCGCATGGCGAGGTCGTCGATCGTCTCACCGCTCCGCATGCGAACAGAATCAAATTCCTTGAGTAGAGTTTGTGCCTTGGCCTCACGGACACGTTCATCGCCCACACGCATGGTCTTGATGGAGTCCCATGCCTCTTTTGCCGTCGCCTTCACGGCAAGCGTGGAGAGCATCTCCGGTGGCACGGCTCGCAGAATTGCCGCTAGCGCCACCCTATCCTCGCTAAAGCTCCCGCCACCCTCGACAGCGTCCCACACGCCTTGGGCCTCCATGTTCACCTTCATGATGAGCGCCCACTCGAAATAGTTCGTCGTCGTCAACGTCGGGTAGACAACGGTGCTGCTGGCCTGGTGGACGACACGTTGCTGTACCACCACCTCGCGGCCGCCTCGCCGCGTCGGGCTCCGCCCACGTCGTACTGGCGAGCGTGACGGAGTGCGCGAACCTTCACCGGTCATGGCTCTGATACCAAATGTTGGAAATGCTTTGAAAGAAAAACAATTACGTACGTAGCTTTAGTTTTTCAAAGCATAATGGAGCTCGAATTGAAGTTACTCCTAAGACTTGATGCATGCATACGTATAGAGAAACAAGAACTCACGTAGCTATTTTTTTGTGGTGCTCAAAGCCACATGACTTTGACGCAGACATTTTCAATTTATAAACAAAGAAAACATCCCACGTACAAAGTAGTTACACCACTCCACAATGAGACCCACTCACTCCACAACCTCCATGCATGCGTACCCAAACTATTTACATGCGTGTGAATAACTTAATTGACCAACTTAACTAATTGACCCAAATTAGACTAACACTAATGCAACGGCACACACACACACTTCAGTACCGCTACAACATATGCACGGTGTCACACGACGCACACTACTTGGCATGACTCATCCCGCCGTGCACTAACACTCTAGTCCAAAATGCATCAAAGACTCCAAATAAACTAAATTAAACATGACGAAATTATAAACAACAAGGTTAACTCCAACAGAGTTCCGCCGGGCTAACCGTAAAGACGGAAAACGGAGAAGAAGGAGGAGCTGTCGCTGCCGCCAACCCATCACCGACCTTCGCCGTCCCAAAACGAGTCTTCTACCACCACCGTATCACGAATCCGTCGAGGTAACTCTCTTCCCCCTGCCTAGCCCGTTTTCTCGAAGTGATGATAGAGGAAGAAGAAGTGTACACATTTTTTTTTTATTTTTTTCTCTCTTAGAAGATTGGGCCGTTGGGCCAGGAGTTTTTGTTTTTATTTTTGGGCCAAGACTCCTAAGTAGTAGTAGTAGTAGTAGTAGTAGTAATAATAATAATAATAATAATAATAATAATAATAATAATAATAATAATAATAATAATAATAATAATAATAATAATAATAATAATAATAATAATAATAATAATAATAATAATAATAATAATAATAATAATAATAATAATAATAATAATAATAATAATAATAATAATAATAATAATAATAATAATAATAATAATAATAATAATAATAATAATAATAATAATAATAATAATAATAATAATAATAATAATAATAATAATAATAATAATAATAATAATAATAATAATAATAATAATAATAATAATAATAATAATAATAATAATAATAATAATAATAATAATATGCAAAATTGATAAATTTGAGATGAGAAGTATTAATGGTGAAATTGGCTGGAATAATTGATAGTAACTACTTGGATAAATTTGTTAATTGTTATTTAACATAGTTACATATTGTTAAATAATAAAAAGGAAATTGATGGTTCAATTAATAAAAATTGATAAACAAATATTATATTATAATTATTTAGTTGGACTTAGTAGAGAAAATTGGATCGTTATTGTTTTCACTCATTATTGGATTATTGAAGTAGATTAATAAGTTAACGTAATATCAAGCGTTTAAGTAATTAATTAATAAAATCAGATTAAGTTGATGACGATTAATTAATTTTAAATAATTATGTAATATTCGGATAATTAGGAAATATGAATAGTTTATTTAAATATAATTCAGATATGTTTTGATAATATTGAAATACAGTTAGTTCTTTGAATGTTTTTTTTTATGATGATATTTAAATTAAAATCTGATGTTGTAGTTAATTATATTTTTATTAGAATTCAAATACCGTAATTAATGACTGAATTAATAAGGTATTTTGATTAATAAAATGCGATTAACTCGAATAATTAATAAATGTACTTAACTAAATGAGTTAAATTGATCTTTTATATATAATTAATTAAGTAAATGAGTATATTTAAAAATTATTAAGGTCTGATCTATTAATAAAATTAAGTTAGTTAATTTCGTAATTAAAGATTAAATTTTTCGGAATTAATTAATTAATTGGAACTAATTAGTGATAATAATTAAATAATGGATTTTACTAGTAGACTAAGTTCGACTAAGATACATAAGTTAGTGACTAAATTGAAATTAGAATTAATCAGTTACTTTAATTAATTAAGTTTTAGCAGGATATTTTCGGATAAATAAAATAATTAGGAATTATTAGTATGTATAGCCGAAAATTAAATAGTAGTAGAAGTATAAATAAATTAAGTAGAAAATTTATTAAAGACTTAAATTATATAGTTGAATTTTACAGTCAAGTAGTGCTAACTATTTCGAATAAAAGTAATAAACCGAATTAATTAAATTCAATAATGGAGTAGTTATTAATTTTCGCACATTGATAATATTAAAGGAGAGATTGGCGAATTCGTTGAAGACGTGAACTAGATTTCGAGTAGGGTTAGAGCAAAAGCGTGACTTTGAGGTAAGTTTCTCTGCCGATCCAAAATGGTTTCCTCGTATTATATGCTATTATTTGATTAAAGTGTGAATTTTGAATTATGTGTATGTGATTTTGAGGAGATCTTTGATCTATGGTATTTGAGAAGTGAAAACGAAGTACTTCTGGGTATTAAATATTTTTAAATACCTTTGAGACTATTTAGAGAGTTTGAGAAATATTTTTGGAAGTATATCTAAAGTCAAGATAAAATTTACGTTTTCATAAGAGGTGAGCACCCGGGAGAAATCCGTGGTGTCGGTTTTCCACATCCGGATAAATGTGGAGGGTGATTAAGGCTGCTACTACTAAGAAGTACAGTTTGAGTTTGAAGTGACATTTGGATCTACGATCCCTTTTAAGAAGAAATTATAGTAGTAGTAGTCCCTAATCATTCAAGAATTTTAAAGGTGGGGTAGTTGGTAGACTGAGTCCCGATTACTCGTGACGACTTACTACTCGGAGGGCTTGGAATCCCTTTTAGGGGGTGTGCACACTTAAGGTAGTCGTTTCGTTTCCATTAGCAGTTGTGGTACCGGCAAAAGTCCCGGGGTGGCCGTACATAACAACGTAACCACCGGGCTCAACCAGAGTGTTGAGCACCGCCCTTCTAAATTACTAGGAAGATAGAGAAGAAGTGAATTTTGAGAAGTTCTAAGAGAAGAGGAACTATAGTATTTTCGAAGAAAAGTTGAGGACTTTAGTAAAGAAGTGATTTTGAGAAAAATCAAAGAGAAAAGAATTTTGGTGGAGTGTGTCATTTTTATATAGTATTATATGAAAAACTATTTTTAGCCAAACCTGATTATTTTACGGGGTTGGGTAGTACTTACTTAGCTCTAAAGCTAATTTTTGTTTCCTTTTCTTTGTTTTGTTTTCTGCACTTTATTTGTGCAGGTGATGATGCTTATAATGTGGACTGATGATTGTATGAACACGAGAGCGGTTTAGAGATGCCTTAGTCAAACCTAGTCATAAATAAACAATCCAATTATGTTGAACACTTGTTTTACTTTGTTTGGTGATTGCCTGTGCATTCGGTTAAGAGATGACCGGATGTGACGGTAACACCCATTTCCCAATTAATGTTATTTCCGCTGCAAAACTTTTTATCTGTTTGAAAGAATAAATCAAGTTATTATCAATAAATCTATTATTTCAAGTATTATTTTGGGAGGGAAAATGGGGGTGTTACAATGTGTTTATCTAGAACGGCTTGTTCTTCGTCTGATATCCGATTTTGGTGGTGTGTTCCACCTGATCGACTACATTGTTGATGTTTTGAACTTTGATTGGATTAATTGCAATTATTCCTTTTCCTCAACAAAAAAAACTAATTAGTTAATTAAAGGAATTAATTGCAATCGGTTCCTTTTATTTAATTTGATGAAACCTCCTTAATTAATTAGCTTCACATGTTCATTGGTCACAAATTATTTGTTGATCGAATTAATATACAGGCGAGAGGTACGTAATAAGGGAGTTAATGGATGTGCTTTGGAGGCATTAATCTTCCTTGTTGCATCCGGTGTGTTTAACTTGGGGCTACATTGTCACGTTCGGCACAAAAATAAACATGGTGAAGATGACACTTCTGATCAACGACTCTTACAGTGCACTAAAAATTATCTATGTGTGCTGACTGTGATCACAGGGTAACCACTGATTCTTTTTCTTCACCCCGCGTGCATGAGATAACCACTAAATGGAAACATAGTGAGAAACGTGTTTATGAATTTCTAATTGGACATAAATTTTCCAATCTAGTATGGTCTGGACCGTCTGGTGCTCAATCGACTAGTATGCTTATTCGAACAATCTGTATTTGTGCTTCCATTACACACTTTTTCATCAACAATAATATATATGATCACTAGGCTAGAGTAAGTTTGTGAATTGGCATTGTTAAGTTAGGGATGTTTTTAATTATCATTTTCATTTACCCCAGTGCCGCAAAGGCTCCTACCTACGGTGGGGTAAGAGGGTTGTATGTTTTTAGTTATAATGGACCAAAATTTAATGGTTTAATCTAGTCTGATTTGGTCTAAGTTTTATGTACATGTATTTTACTGCTCGTTTGGTAACATAGAAATTGGTTGAATAGGTTGATTCTGCTGAAATTAATGAAATTCTAACTAGAATGGTTAAGTTGCCCGAATGGGCTGAATTGGCTGAATTATGAAACAAAATGATATATTTTATTACGGAGTAATAAAATATAGAAAGAATTATATGAAAATAGTTAAAATGGTCATCTATAATAACTTTAACCATTTCAAGCAGAAAAGTAACTTCAACCTTATTTATTTAGATAATACTATGTAACATACTACGTAATTTATTGCATGAGATCAAAGTTGTGTATTTGATGAAATGGTTGACTGATAAGAGAAGGTCACCAAACATGCTATTAGTATTGTCTAAGTTTGTTTTGGTGTTAAAATTAATTACAAATATGGTAAGCAGGAAAAATATCTAGCTATGACGAAATGAAAATAAAAAGTAAATTGTTAGGTTGCATATAAATTTCTTAAAGTACATATGTGTGTGCAGGCTCGCATTTGTGATGGGAGTGTTATGTTTTAGGCATGTACGACTTAAATCAAGTGGAATGTCTGATAACAAAAAGGCCAACTTCCTAATCGCTGGAACTTGTGGTTCCATTTTTCAACCGCTTCTTTCCGTAAGCCATTGTTTTCAATGCAAACGCCGCGAAATCCCAGGCACCGACGGATTTGGGCAGCCCCTGTGGAGTCGTAATGTTGGTTGACATGGCCAAAAAAGAACAAAGGAGATCGGT